AAATAAAGCTCAAAAGAATAAACAACTTGAAATTGCCCTAAACAGATACCAACAACATATCTGCCCTTCATTTGGTCTGCAATTATGCTTAAATCCAGATAATAACAACACATGGATTATTATTTTATTTAAAAATCATAAAATATTATTTTTAAATAACATTTTGTAGATAAATCAGGTTTCATACATCATTTGATCAGATACGTGTAAAGAGCAAACACGATGATATTATTAACACGTTAGTTTATTTACTCTCAGATAAAATAATCTTTGTTTTTGTTTAGTTTATTTTACAGTGGTCTACTGTGGTCTGCAACTGGACATGTGACAAATTAAAGGGAAAAACTGTATCCAAGCCTTTCAGATCTAAAATCTTCCTCACGAGTGCTCTCCTAAAACGAAGCTGAAACTTGGTGTGTTTAATATATTTATGTTTCTACATATCTGAATATATTTATTTTCAGGTTACTCCTTCAACTCGTCACCTGAACTTAAAATCACAGTGACAGAGGTTTCATCCCTGGTGTTCAAATGCTGATCAGCCCTTCGCACATCACGGCTTTAAAGGCATGTACTCGTTCTCCCTCTGACCATCCGCGGGGGTAAAGCTCTCCTCTGTTATTCTCTTTGCTTCTTTAGACACCTTCTCGAACCTCTTGAGGAAGAAGACGAGAGCCACGAGCAGAGCCGCCTGCACGACCACAAATACAAGCAGACACACCTGCGAGGCCAAAGCCAGGTCACAGTACCAGTAGTGGCAGGAGTCCAGCACCTCCTGCTCAGTTAAATATGCCACCAGCCGACCTCTCAGTTTGGGTGGGGAGCTGCAGTTGACGCCCACGTGTGATGTGCTGCCAGCAGGTTGGCGCAGCAGCCAGGCTCGCAGGTAGAGGATGCCGCAGTCACACGCCCAGGGGTTACCGTGAAGAGAGACGGAGCGGAGGGAGGTCAGATCATCCAGGAGCCCGTTAGGGAGTGTGGTCAGCAGGTTATTGTGGAGACGGAGCTCGGAGGTCCCAGCAGAGAAACTGGAAGGCAGCGAAGAAGCTGTGAGAGATCTGCTGCTGCAGTCCACCTGACTGCCGTGACAGGAGCAGAGATGGGGACAGGCGGAGGACCTTTGACCTCCAAACAAGAGGAGCAGACACATGAGCAGAAACTCCTTCATGGTTCCTAATCACTGCAGAGGAGAGAGGAGGAATCAAGGGTTAATTAGAGTGAGTTGAACTGTAAAACTGCCCTTTGTATGTATCGTGTGAAACAATCTCTTCACTGTATATTATTGAAGCCATGAAGATCATTAGTGTGTTTATGCAAAACGCATCATGTGCTGACATAAAAAAAGAGTCAAAAATCCACATTGTGCAAAAAGATAAACTCTTCTAACTTAAGGCAGTAAAGCATGTATAAGAGCTGCTCCGATCTAAAGGGCTGGACTGATGATGGATCTTTAGATGATGCCCACACCAGTGCCAGAGGAAAAAAATCAGACATACATGAGCTTATGGGTTTTTTTCTATATAACATGTATGTAATTTGGAGGTTCAAAGAAAAGGATTATCGGCAAAAACAGAGCCAGCAATCAGTACTTAAGGTTTATTTTACTTCAGATCAAAGGTTATTTAACTGCACAAGGAGACGCACATGAACCGAAAAAACTCTGAGCTGCTGCCCCATGGAGGAGTGTAGTCCTTGTATAATGTGTGCAAACTGAGTTCAATTAAAGGACAAAAGAAAAACAGGAGCCAATCGGTGAAGAGAAAATCAGGAAAGGACACAAGGTAAAAGAAACGAGGCGTGGATGAGTGCGGAAGGTTTCGGTTTAAATATCTTGAAATTGCGTCTTAAAAACTTGATCTTTTGACTTACTCAGAAGGAACTCAACATTTTGAGATAATGACTCGAAAACTAGAGTTACCTCTGCCTGTCATTTTTTGTGTGTCACAAACAAGTGTCCACTACAAACTCATATCTCAACGTAAATGATCAGAAAACAGAAAGTCTCGGTTCTGTTGTGGGGCTGCAGTTTGTGTTGTTGTAGCTAAAAATGCATTCATGTGTGCAGGTGTTTTCATTTTACTGGTCACAGTATCTGCTTTGTATTTGATCATACATTGTTTGAGCAGTTTGTCCTGATTAATATGACATTAGCAGTAAATTTCATGCAGACTTTATAAAATGAAACATGTAAAACTGCATGTGATGTATCCATGATCTAAAACTAGGTCATAATTTATTTAAACAAATTTAACACATAAACATTACAAAATGACCACATACCTTTAGAATATGGTAATAATGAGGTCATCATGTGGACTCATAAATAACAAATATTGTACGTTTTACAGGATAAATTATTAATTTTGGATAATTTTAGTCAATTGCATTGACATTGACAGGAAACACCTCCCTGCTGATCACAAGCTGCACAACCCGATTGCTGTTTTCACACATTTATACTAAGTACATTACACTGTAGAGTAAATGAAAACAGAACACAGTAATTACACCAACTATCAACTTAAACTTTAAGAGGAATAAATTAAACTGATGATGTCACAGCAGACCTGAAAAGTCTAAACAAGGTCTGAGGAGAGTCTTTTACCTTCAGTGCGTCGCGTCTTCGGGAGATGACTCTGTTTTTTACAGTTGCTCTCAGAGTGTGTGCTACTGCCAGCTGGCTCTCACTGATAAAGACCGCTGTCAAATCATGAGCTCAGGCACGCACACGCCTGTGCACATGCACGCACAGAACATGCACACCAACATGGAAAACATGTCACCCGCTATGTTTTGTTGATTTAAATCCTAATAAAGTTCTAAAAAGAGCTGTTTATACTAATTAAAGATTTTCTTTATTTTTAAAGTTTGAGTATTTTCACACAGTAATCGATTGTCTGCCTTTTATTGAGATCACATGAGGCTAGAAATTTTTTTGTCACAAAACGGCCGGAGGCTGAGGAAAGGGTTTAACAAAGTTTTCTTAACTAGCACAAGGAGGATGTTTACAATGGCACTTGGCTTAAGGCTTGACACATGGGGCGTGAGGGTCTTGGCCAGGAGAGAGGGATAAAGCAAGGGGACAGGTCCAAGAAAGCAACGGCAGCTGGCTGGTGATTAGGTACGCGTGTGCAGGTGGGAGATGGAAGCGTTGAAGGAGAGGTGGCGCGGCCCGGGTGGGTTTGGTGGTGTGTGTCAGCTGTCCTGAGCGGTGAAGGTCCCGTGGTGGTGTAAGGGCAGGCAGGTGAGGCAAGGAGATGATTCTGAAAGCAGGCGGTTTAACCAGATTTCCAAGATGAGTGGTTCAGTGTGTGTGATGGAATTCCCAGTAAATAGGCTAGTTGATGAAATGGCGAGGAAACAGTGTCAGCAAGCAGCTTAAATCTCCAACCTAATTGCCTCAATCAGCTTCAGGTGAGGGAGGCTGTAGGCCCTGCCCATGGGTGGATACCAGGGAGGTCCAGACTTTCAGCGGAATTTTACAGCCACACACCCAGACCATGACAATTTTTTTCCCATCATGACATAAACGGAGAATTTAATGTGAGGACAATAAAGTTTTTGATGACTTATTTTCACGCCACCTCACGACCCTCTAGACTCTTCCTAGTTCTGTATAGCAAACTGCAAACATGTATTAAATATGTGTAATAATCTGAAGTGTACAATTCTTTATAATCTACTTTTATAATTTTATAGTTTATGTGTCATAATGCACACCAGACATGGCATGTATTAAGTCTAATATTAAATATTCCATAAGGAGCCAATAAGGAGCTCATAAACTCTGAAAAATCAAAAACCTATTTTTTTCTTCTGTTTTAAACTGTCTGACAGCAGTTACGTACAGTCATGTGCAAATAAAGATTCGTAGGACTCAATGTTGTTGAGGAATTTTGGCCCCCTCTTCTTTACAACACAGTTTCAGTTCATAGAGCGTTCGTTTATGCACCGCTTTCTTAACTTTCACTGCACCTTTACAACACCTTTATTCTTCTGTCGTATGACCCATTTTCAGCCAAGCTTCATTTTAACTCTAGAGTACTCTTGATATTAAGAGGAGTCAGTTCAGTTCAGTTCATGACTGACTCAATGAGTGCAAAGTGCCCAGGTCCTGTGGCTGCAAACCAAGCCTAAATCATCACACCTCCATCACCGAGAACTTGTCATTTGTTCGGATGCAGCTTTGCACATCTGAGCTGTGCCACGTTCTTTCCTGAGAGAAGAGGCTTTCTCCTGGCAGCCCTTCCAACCAAGACCATGCTCGGTCAGTCTTTTTCTATTTGTACTGTCATGAACTTCAACATTGACATGCTAACTGAGGCGTGTAGATTCTGAGATGTAAGTCTTGCGCTTGTTGTAGTCTCTCTGGGCAGTGAAACACCAGTTTGACTTTGGGGTGTTTATATGCTTAAAAAGAAATCTGAGGAAGTTGTAGTGATCTTGGATATTTCTGTTTTATGCTCATACAGCCCTTCGGAGAAGCAAATTTCAATTTTACTCCAATTAGTTTGCAGATACAAATCAGTAAGACAAAACACAATTAACAAACAAATGATTAGATTGTGAATTCTTTTGAATTATTTTAGGTTAAGAAAAGATATTTCATGCTACTGAGCTGAATAAAGCAGCTAAAATTCACTCTGTCACCACAAGCATTCAACATTATCACAATAACGAGTGCTTTTACCTTTATTAAAACACCCTTATTTTCCACTGTGACACTTAATAATAAAATAATAATATAATAACTGTGCTCTTCTGAGATATTTCTGTCCTCCCATATCTGCTTGTGTATTTCTGGGCTGCCCAGCAGGAAGAAGATGCCGTGTGCAGTGCAGAGGAAGAATGGCTGCAGGAGATAAATATGAATCAGCAGATCAAGTCCTCGCAACGGCTTCAGCTCTGAGTACTGCTGCTCGGACTCTGACGTGAGGACGTGAATGAGGATATCGTGCGAGAGTTTCCTAAAAAACAACACTGAAGCGGTGAGGCCAGACTGACGACAAACTGGGGTTTATTTGTCACACCTTTGTAAATGGGACACAGACTGAGCTCACAGCCTTCAGGCAAAAAATATGTACAGCTCATCAGTATCAGAGACTACACACACACACACACCTACACACACGCTCTGTCATACTGTGGACACACAACTTTGGTGGCATAATTCACTTCCAAGAAGAGATATTTAAACAGAAGCACAAAGTAGTGGCTCCTCGTTACTGATCCTGTAGTGGTAACAAAGCATCCTGTAGGCCACGATCCATCAAATTCAACAACAGGGCATCGGCTAAAAAGCGATAAAAATAGGCCCACAGTAGCATTTAGCGGATATGAGTAATGACAACATGCTTGCACATGCACCCTGCACTGCACAGACTCTTGTTATCTCAGAGGCTCGCCATTCATTGTAGCCACCGGCAAGAAGAGCATTTTCAGCTCATTCGGCACATTAACAAAATGCTGGAAGAGGAGCAGAAGATTTTCACCGGCCGTATGCAAATAAATGCCAAACAAATGTATTTTTGAGCAAATGAAGAAGAGCAAAAATCAGATTTTAGTAGACGTAAATTCACTGTGGTACCTTTTAAAGGAGTTTTATGGATGCATACCTGGTAATATTAAAGGTAATATTAAAGAAAATGTAATGATCATTCACACACCGAAACACACCATCGCATAATAAAAAACAATATCCATGTTCAAAAATCGAAACATCACCAAGAACCTACGTTTCATTACAAAATATGTCGCAGCAAACACCCTGACATTAAATCCAAAAAGTTTAGCACTGCATTTATAAATTAGATACACTGATTATTAAATTATGTGTTTATATCTTATATGTTAGGACCACAGCGAGGGGCTCAAAGTGGGAGATTGGATAGTTTCAGAGGAAAAAAAAAACCACCCTCCAGGCAAACAAACTATACAAAAGCACCAAACTGAAGATTAATGTACAGCCAGAGTTGCCACTGACGCTTGATAACCATTTTCAAAGTCTGGAGGTCTCACTGTCGTTAGGGAGATAAGCAGCAGGTGGCGCTGCGGCACATCACTGCTCTTTGTCGTGCATCTGCTGCTGCATCTTGTTCAGCATCTCCTGCATCCTCTTCAGCTGGAGACGGAGAGGAGAGCAGATTAAAAACGGTCTGTCACGCGTTTCATAGAACGTCTAAACATTAAAGCAAGATGGTGACATTTTAAATATTTTGCTGGCACTTTGGTTCTTTGTTTGTTGTTTTGTGCAGCAGACATTTTCACATCCTCAACAGAATCCAACAAAATTGTAACATGTTAAATCTTATTATGGCGCACATATATTCAATATCAAGTCATAACAGCTTGTGTTTAATATCACCTGTAATCTTTTTTTTTTTTTTTAAAAACAACAAAAGTTGCTTGATACCTCCTCATCTTTCATTTTGATCAGTTTCTCGGTGTCCACATCTGGAGTGGACAGCGGCAGGATGGGGATCGGGCTCTCCATACGGTTGTCCTGAGCCAGCTTACTGAGAGATGAAGAAAATGGAGAGAAAACATCAGCATCTATTGAAGTTGTTTGCTACACGTTTGCACTTGCTCACGCTTTCATTCCTCACGTACCTGGTCATCTCCTGTATGCACTGCGCTCTGTAGTTTTCATAGTGGACGTCGCAGGTTACGTCTTTGAGGTCGTGCATGTGGGAACGAATCAGCATGTTCCTCAGTTTCACAAAGTCACAGTGCGATTGGTTTTCCACTGCGCAAAGAAATACGCATCATTACCTTTATTAATCCAGTCGAGACATGCAAACTATTTCAATTTACATTCAGGCTGAATAAAGCTGAACAGACGTGGAATATTCGAGCATGCATACCTTCGACGATCCCCCAGGGGTACAGCCTTCCCCTCACTCTTTGTCCACGAGCCTCCACCACTGTGTTACTGCCAATCACAGCGAACGGGGTGCACTCCTGCAGAAGGAGACGCGAGGAAAGGTTGTTATTTCAACCCCTCTCTGCTCCGAGAAAGCTGTCTGAGCATGCTGGCACACACTGACAGAGTTATACACGCTCACAAAAGACCCCTGAGCTGCTCAAGACAACTGTGACTTTATTTGTTGAGACAGGTAAAAGACTGTTAGCTGTTTATTTTCTCTGCACTGACTTTCTCAGCTGATCGGTGAGTTCATGCTCCAAGCCCGCATCTATCTCCCCTGAGGCGCTGCTGCACTTTCATTTAAAATGACAGTAAATGGTTAGGAGCACAAAATTCCACAGAAACACTCTTGGGCCTCATGCCATTAAGCCATGCAGGTGCATTTAGGTTAATGAACTCACATTTTAAAGTGTAGGTGTGTTTTTCCTTATTTTCATTTAGTATATCTGCAAGTAATCCAAGCTTCAGACTCCTTTAAACACCCTGTTTCAGATGTTTTTTCTACTCTTGGCTGTGTATTATGTCAGTAATAGAGGATATTTCAAGCTGTAAACGTGTGTATTAAACATGTGCTTGTGAGCGGCAGCCAATCAGAGATAAGCTGGCTTACCGGGAGGATGGTCTTAAAGGTAAGGGAGCTAAAATGGGTTGTTTAAGACTGAACTGTGAACCATATTACAACATGGTGGAAGAAAGGAGAAGAAAGGTCCTTTTAATAAATTTGTCTTTGAACTTTATGTATACACCATATATATCATTTACTTCAGATACTTTCTGCCAGCTGAAGGTTTCTCTGTATCACAGGTTTTGCTCAGTTTTCCAAAACGCACCATCCAACTATCACACCCACTTCAACGTCTGGCAGCATCTCTAGATCCATCTCCATTTTCTTCACAAAACAGCTGTTATCACTTTCCATCATGCTGAAATGTGCTCCTGTGTCCTTGTTTGAATCATTTAATACGACCTCTTTTAATGGTTACAGTTTATTAAAAACAAAGGCACAAAACATTGCTGTGAGCAGCTTTCACAAGCACTTCCAACCTGCCAGCTTAACAAGTGCAGATTATCCAGAGGAGCTGAGATATATATTCTGATGCATCTTAGCCTTTTAGCTGCTTTAAGGAGGAAAAACAAAACTCCATTCACTTCCACTGAATGCAATGGAGGTCCAAGATTTAGAGGCAAATACCTTCAAGTTATTTTTCCAGAGTTTTTAACTGGATTGAATAATCTTCCAGAGAACAAGAAGTTTGTTTAGTTTTCCACACCTGACCTGAGAAAGTGACATACCAAATGTTAACTGAGCATAATTCATGTATTAAGGAAGACTGTGACAGTGTGTTGACAGATCGGGAAAGACCTCATGTTTGTTTTATACTATAAGGTTCAAATAGAGGTAATAATTCAATAAAAGGTTACCCTTCTACACTATTCACTGAAACCACTGCTGGTGTATGAGCCTGGTGGTCTGCTCCTCTCTGCATGGATGATAGCCATATGGTTTGCATTTTTTTCTCCATGCATTTGTTAAATAAGAAGTACGATGATCTGAATCTGTAGCCACAGGTACAGTAAGTCAGTAGCTCACAGGTATGTGAGTCCCCACCTTCAGCTCTTTGTCCAGCTGTTTAAACTCCTCATCCTCGTCAGAGTCGCATTCAGGGAACTGGTACACTTTGATCCCAAACTTGTCTATTTCCTCTCTTATCTGGACATGGACACACACACACACACACACACACACACGAGAGAGAGATTATATTTCATTCACCAGCCTGCAAAGGAAACATCTTGATTTTGCTGCGGAGCTCCTGGACTCACTCTGTCTTTAAGCTTTTTTATCTCGTTGGGCGTGAGGCAGTCGGCTTTTGCGATGAGTGGAATAATGTTCACTTTTTCATGTAGAGCCTTCATAAACTCAACGTCCACCGGACGAAGCCTGAGCAAGAAAAATGAGAGAGCAGGAGACTCAAAATTGTGGCTTTAATCAATCATGACTTCTTTGTGTACACGTGTGTGTGTGTGTGTGTGTGTGTGTGTGTGTGTGTTATTACCCATGCCCAAATGGAGGGATGAAGTAGAGGCAGCAGTGGACTCTGTTATCCTGGATGTTCTTTCTGTTCAACCCGCTCTCATCCCTGAAATATTGCTCGAACTGCTGATCTATGTAGTCTGTGATCGGCTTCCAGCTGGGACAAAAAAGACACCACAGACCACATTAGCTGCTCTTGCGAGGTCCCGGGAATTCAATCGAGCAGTCTGAATCAGACACAAGCAGATCAGCGAGAGTCTTATGTTTACCATTCATTGTTGTTCACGGCATCTCCAAACCCTGGTGTGTCCACAATTGTCAGCTTAAGCTTCACTCCTTTTTCCTCGATGTCCACGGTGTGTTTGATGATCTCCACAGTTTGATTAATGCGTTCTGCAACGTGACAGCAATGAGGAGGAGAAGACAACTGAAGTAGGAGGTCAGTGAAAGTGTACAAGAGCCGATCAACAACTCATTAAATACTATAAATACTATACTTTAGCACTTAAAGTACTTTATACAACATGTCTCATTCACACACACAAATTCACACAGGTACATTTTTCTATGTGTGAATGCTTTCTTACTAACATTCACACTCCAATGAACACATCGGGAGCAACTGGTGGTTCAGTATTTTGCCCACGGACACTTTCGAAGCAGACTGAATCAGCTAAAAATGGAACGATGGGCATGAGCACGAGTACCCTTATAATTGGGGTGCTATTAAAACAGCTGGCACTCATTCAGCTGTGTTCCCTTGTGTGCAGTTTGTCCTGCTGCCATTAGATTAGGGAGAGGTTACTCATCACTGGGACGCGTGTATATAACTTAGAGTACCCAGAGTTTGTGGTCTGCTGACTGATGGCTACTAAGCGTGAGTAATGTAACTGGCCTGTGTGAGTCCATTTTAGACAGGGAGAGGAAGTAATTGTTGACACATTTAAACACTTTGCTAGACACACTACTTTTAGGGGTGCTACTCACTACTATAGTTTTATGTTGAAGAGGCAGGCCAGCAAGCTTAGGACTTTATTTCTTTGGCCGCTGTTAAGTAGAACAGCTTGTAGGCTTCATCTAGAGATCGCTTTGTGTTTTATTTATTTCTAAACTACTCCATCTGGTTGGTTAATGCTATCTCACTTTCCACCGTCTGCTGGGGTTGTGTTATGGTCCCTCAGCCTCTATAGCTACTTCCAGGTTTTGGTGGCTTCTTGGATCAGGGAAACGACCTTAGCAATCATTCTCCCTCTTTCAGGTCGTTTGGATTTGTTTGAACTTGTTGTTCTTTAGCTTTTGATTTATTTTTTTTTTATCTATCCACACATATCAATCACAACAAAAGGGCCTTGAGGTGACTTTTGTTGTGATTTGGCGCTATATAAATAAAATTGAATTGAATTGAATATTTGACTGGGAAGCGCGGTCTCTATATTTTGTGACAGATGTCATTAAAAAGTTAAGTCTGTCACGTTCATATGTTGTTGTTGCACCCAATAAAAAAAAAAACTAAGATTAATTAAAAGAAATGAACACACATGGGGAATTAAAGGTGGGGTTTTGTGAAGGTTGCATTAAGTATTCAGCAAGCAGTGGATTCATTATGACTGCTGCACAGAGATAATAAAGAGACCAAGGACTCACCCTCAGCGTTCAGTAGCTTCCTGTCTTTGTAGAGGTCTGTGAGGAACAGGCTGTTAACAAGAGTGGATTTTCCCATACCGGACTCTCCTGCAGGTCAAACACAAACACACGCACAGACACCCAGATAGTTATCCTGTGTGTATATTTAATTATGAGATATTAATAAAATGAACTCAGCTGCCAATTTACTAATGTAGTCCTGCAATAAATCCATCTGCCATGATGACTTTATCAATGAGGAAAGGCAAAATATTAGAAACAGCTAAATGACTCTAAAAACAACTCAAACAAAAACTGGTCCATGGGAATTTATTATATGCCTAAATTGGTTTTAGTTTAGTGTGCCTATTAAATAGGCAGCTGAGTGTAAATAGGCAAGATTCAGCTTGAAACGCACCTGCCACCATCAGCGTGAAGTCGAAGCCTTTCTTCACAGACTTCCTGTGGACCTGGTTAGGCAGAGTTGCAAAGCCCACATACTGTTTCTCCTGGAACACAAAGAAAAGGAGACAGAGGTGTTCAGTGTGTTTATGTTGCACTTTATCTCATCATACGGCAGCTGTCAGGTGTGTTGTGACATTCAATTCAATTCAATTCAATTTTATTTATATAGCGCCAAATCACAACAAAAGTCGCCTCAAGGCGCTTCATAGATATAGAGAAAAACCCAA